CCCCCCCCCCCCCCCCCCCCCCGTCTCTCTCTAGTCCAATTAAAATACATGAATGAATAAATAAAATTCAAAAATAAGTAAATAAAAATCTCTTTAGTTGAACCACATGAAATTGCTATTTCTGTGGGAAAAAAAGTCAAATATCAGCAATTTTGTACAGTAGGACTCAACGGCAAGGAAAGGAACAGATCAGGGTGGATTTGGCCTAGGCACTCCGTTCTGCTGAGTTGTCCACACCCAGGACCCTGACGGCACTGCCAGTGACCTTTCTGAGACCCACAATGCTGCTTTGGCTATTACACCGCATCCTGGAAGACCGTGAATAGGAGGGGTAAAAGAACTTCAGAAGCAAGAATAAAACCCAAAAAGGCAGCCTGGCTGTCGGGAGTGACAGCACCACCCTAAGACGTGCCCTGGACACGCCAGCCGCGAAGCAGCACTTACTCATGACCGAGTTCTTGGTCTGGAACAGGGTTCTCCGCTTGCCCAGCCTCATGGTTCCGCCCATCTGCCCAGGATTGTGTTCTGGCATGTCTATGACCTGGAGAAGTTTGGAAAACACACACACTACCAAACTCTGCTTCCGTTAGGGGACTGACCCCTACCCTGAACAGAATGCCTGGGAGCGGCTCCGACTCGCCAGCCTTTCCGTATGGCAGAGGGCAAAGTGCCCTCGATAGCCGTTTCCTGCCCTTTGCTGAGTAGGGGTTTCAATCCTGCCCCCAGGACTTGGGACTGTGCGTGCTCCGGGCCGTGGCACTCTGAGAGACTGCTGTGGTGGCCTGGGTGCGGACCATCCTGTTGTAGAGGTCTGCCTGCCCCGCCTGCTGGGTGAGCTGCTCAAAGGGGAGGGGTGTAGGACAAGCACCGGCAGGAGGAGCGGGGCGGGAGCTCGGCGAGCAGCCGGGCAGGCGGGGGAGTTCAGCTCGCCTCTCAGCCCAGAGCGCCTGGAACCTCCTGACCTGCAGGGCCTTCTCTGTGCCCTGCTCCCCAGCCCCAGAGGCCTTCACTTCAAAGCTTGGTCCTTCCCCTCCCGAGGTGTTCGTATTAGCAATGTGTGACTTAAGGTCAACCAACACAAACTGATGGTTCAAGTGCCATGAGAGCATGAACCCTGTCTGTGTTGTTCATGAGCACCCTCGGTGACAAGGACCGTCCCAGCACATAGTAGAGCCTCAACATCTGTTGAATGCTGAGAAAAATAACGCCCTTCATGCACCTTCAGCCTTGGGCTGGTTTCCAGAATGAATAAAGGCCCTGCCCTTCCTCAGAGTCACAGCCACACAGAGCCGAGCAGGGCCAAGCGCCCCTGGCACCGGGGACAACTCTAGGCCTGCCGGCCCGGAAACACGTTTGTCACCTTAAACAGTGAGCACCAGCCCCAGCAGTGCTGTCACAGTCGCCATCTCCGTGGGCTTGGCCATGTAAGGCGGCTGGCACACAGCTCGTGCTGTGTAAGGCGCTTCATATTCTTATTTATAAAGTGCTCCTGGGAGCTGGGGGGAACAGGGACGGAGAACTTCCTCAATCAGGAACGCCCTCTAGTTCTCTGTGCTGGTCTCAAC